GGTGCCATTGGAGTCAATGGGCCAGAATCCTGCTGGTGTCAATGGGCCGTGGTGCCATTGGAGTCAATGGGCCAGATTCCAGCTGGTGTCAATGGGCCGTGGCGCCATTGGAGTCAATGGGCCAGATCCCAGCTGGGGTCAATGGGCTGTGGTGCCATTGGAGTCAGTGGAGTCAGTTTACCCCAGATGAAGACCTGGGTTGCTCTGTTTAGCAGAGTCTGTGTCTCTTGCTCCCTTCCCTGTTGCTGCGCAGCCTGGCACCGGAGTGCCAGGCTCATAGCGGAAGGGGGGGCCAAGAACCCCCCAGTGCCCTCTGGCCCAGCGCTGCCTTTTGGGGCAGAGCCGGACACTTCCAATGTCACCATCCGTAAAACCCAGGGGCTCCTTATGGTGTCTTAGGGCAAATTCCGGCCTCGTTGCTCGTCCCGGGCTGCCCCCCGGTGGCAGCTGCACTCCCGTGGTGCTGAAGCTGGGCGTGTGCTTTGGCGCTACAGGGCCCTGGACGCGTCTTTTCACTCACCTGCCAGCACAGTTGGCTCGTGGCCCTCCCCTGCTCGGTGATCCAGCCCTGGGCCCGTTGGCCTGATGGTGCCTGAGTCTCAATCCTACCCCAAATACCCACCCGCACTCCACCTCCATCTCCAAACCGACCCCTGCCCCATGGGTCCCTCCAGTCACAGGTTGGCCTAGTGACTTTATAACCCATGTCCCCCACGGCCACTTTACTGACCCCATTGTGGGTGTCTTCCCCTTCTGCCCTGCAGGGGGCGGCACAGCCCCGGCTGGGCTCAATTCTGCACTGCAATGGAATCCACCAGTGGCAGCGAGAACCCAGCTGGGGTGCCAGCCCCCAGGGGACTGCGGAACAGGTCAGAGATTCCCCCCCTCGCCCCGCTTTGCAGGTCTGACATAAGCACCCAGACGAGGTGGGGGTGAGTATTGGCGGGGCCCGCTGGTGCCGCGGCGGGGGGGAATGGCTCACAGACAGCAGAGATGGGGAGGGGAGGTGCTGATGGAGCCGCCCTGCATGCTGGATGGAAAAACAATGGTGGGGGGGGTGTCAGAAGGGGGCTCAATCGGGATTGTAGTTATGAGGATGAGCAAAGGCGGGAGGGAATGGGCCTGCCATCCAAGAGGGTGTCTCTCCCCACCCCCTCCTGCCAATCAGAAGCCCCCGTCCCCTGGGAATGGAGGGTGGGGGAGCAGGACCCCGCTTTTCCCACCCACTGAGGCTGCTGCCTTCTCTGGATTCCCTCTGCCAGCATCCCCAAACCAAGACCCCAGCTGCCCTGGCTGGGAAGGATCCCCCAGCACCACCGGGCACTAAAGGGCGTATTTGCCCCCCGCCCATCCCAGGGGGCTGGCACGGCTGCACGTGGACAGAGACACGTGATCCCCTGGCAGTCGTGCTCCAGGGGGATTGGGCATGGTGCCGTTCCAGACCCCTGGGGTGCTGGGTTAGACCGGGCAGTGCCCCCAGGGAGAGAGCACGGCTGCAGACTGAGCTACCCAGCTGGGCTCTGGGATGTGGCACATGGTGACAGCAGCAATGGGCAAGGCCCCTGTACCCTTCGCTCGAGTCCTTGCCCCCCATGTTCCCCGTGACACCCCCTCGGGAGCCCATGCTCTCCTTGTTCCAGCCTGGGGGGCGGCCGTGCCAGACACGCCCCCACTTCCCAGGTGAGACTGGAACCAGCTATCCCAGCCCACCACTGCCCATTGCTTCTAATTGCCACCCTGAGCCTCCCCAACGCACGCAAGCATCAGCGATGACTTCCGCCCGCCCCTGCCCAGAGAAGGGAAGTGACTTGGTACCGTCACATGGGGAGTCGGTGGCAGAACTGGGAAAGAACCCAGGAGTCCTGGCTCCCAGCCCCCTGCTCTTACCACTAGACCCCCCTCTTCTCTCTCAGAGCTGGGGAGAGAAGCCAAGGAGTTCTGCCTCCCTGGTCTGTGCTTTAACCACCAGGCTGCCCCTCCCTCTGGGCACCTGTAGGGGGGGCTGCTGAGTGAGCTTGGAGCATGGCTCCTCTCTGCTCTGTCCCAAGGGGCACTGGTGCCCTGGGTTTCCAGCAGTGTGTGTGCAGGCGGAGGGATGTGGGGGACACAAAAGGCCAGGGCGGGGGTGGGGACTGAAGCCCTGATCAGGGCACCCCACGCAGGGCCGTGCCCGGCTGTGTTGTGGCCAGAGCCATGGGGATGGCACCGAAGCACAGAGCCACCCGCCTTGCGCTCTCAGAGCCCAGCCCTGCAGCTGAAAACCCACCTCTCTGTCTGGGCAAAACCAGCTGGGGGGCGGAGTCCTCAGCCCAGGCCGAGACAGCAGGCGACAAACCCCAGCCCCAGAGCAGGCAGCCGTGACAGGGGTTCCATGGGCACACGGCTGGGAGCGAGGGCAGGGGCGGGTTGCCCTGCTGCTGTCTGGGATCTGTCGTTGCTGAGCTGAGGAGGGAACCAGCCGGTGTCAATTGGCCATAGCTCCATTGGAGTCGGGGGGGGGGGGCACATCCCAGCTGGTGTCAATGGGCCATAGCGCCGTTGGAGTCAATGGGCCAGATCCCAGCTGGTGTCAATGGGCCATAGCGCCGTTGGAGTCAATGGGCCAGATCCCAGCTGGGGTCAATGGGCCATAGCACCGTTGGAGTCAATGACCAGATCCCAGCTGGGGTCAATGGGCCATAGCGCCGTTGGAGTCAATGGGCCAGATCCCAGCTGGTGTCAATCGGCACCAATTCATCTACTTCACTGGCGCTCTGCTGATTCCCGCCCATGGAGGATCTGGCCTAGAATCCTCAATACGTCACCAATCAGCAGCACGAAACACTTTGATCAATCTGTCCCAGAGTGCTACCAATACCACTGTGGGGCTTTGCCCCTCCCCACTGCCTACCTCTGCTCCCTCTGCCCCCTCCCACCCAGTGGCATCCTGGCCTGGGATGGGGCTCCAGTTCCCCCCCCACCCTCCAACCCTGCCAGCCTCGCTCCATTAGTAATGGGTTAAAAGTGTCGTGAAATGCAAAGAAAAAACGACAACAGAAGACGGAAGTGATGCCGTGAATGAACATTTATCATGACAGAAATGAGTTAATAGTATTAAGCACTAAAAATGCTGACTCCACTAAGCACAAGTTAATACACAACTTTACACACACAAACCTACCGGAACACTCAGATTTCGCTACTTAGCCATGGTAATGGAGGTCTTGGCTCTTTAAAACAATGACATATAGTCTCGACCCTTCCCTTTAGCAGATCACCCCCCCCCACCCCCACCCATGCCCAGAAAAAAAATAATAAAGAATGATTTAAATAAATAGGTCGTTAAAGAGAGAGTCAATGGAGAGGGAGAAAAAATGACCAGAGGCTGTTTCATAAAACGTGCTGGGCTTGGAGAGTTCCAGAATTCTTCTGCTGTGGGGCCGGGGAAGCGATCAGCTGTCTCCCTGGGACGGGCTTTGCCATCCAAGAAAAATTCAGGGAGTTGAAGGCCAGAAGAGATCATAGATCTCAGGCCCTTCGCTTTCACATAACTTGCATTTGACTTTGACTTAAGCATCTAGATCTGGCCGTTGTTTGGGCGCTGAAATGGCTATTGGGGTCGTGACCCGGTCGCCGAAACCTCTCTGCTTCCCCCTGTTCTATCCACTAAACCCCGCTGCCCTCCTAGGGGGCAGCAGATCCCCGGACACCTGGCTTCCTGTGCCCACTCTTCTAGTGCCTACGCTATCCTAACTCCCGGAGCTGGGAACAGACCCCAAAAGTCCTGACTCCCAGCCCACTCAAACCACCCACTTTCGGTGCAGGAAATGCGTCAGCAAGGCCTGCCCGGTTTCGTCCCTGCCTCACCTCGCTTCCCCATCCCCTTGAGAAGAAACGAGAGCAGCTATTCTTCCTGGGTCTCCGGCCTTCCCCAGCTGGGACCTGTCAACACAGCCGCCAGGGCATCAGTAGAACCGCTGGATTCACCCTAGCTGAGAAGCTGGTTTAGTGATGCGCCAGGGAGCTAAAGAATTTCATCTGTTCAGAGACACCCCTCTAGCTGAGCTCAGGGCTGCGTGTCAGTCCATTTGCAATGGCTGGATGCAGGAACGGCCGTGGGGCTGACAGTTAGGGTCACAGGCCAAGCTTCCTTTCCCTTGGGAGCCTCTCTCTGAGACAGCTTCGCCCCACATTCGCCGTCCAAGCACCAACATTTTTATGCACCAGCTCCTCTTGGACGTCGAACACAAAATGTTTCCCCCTCTGACAATTGAACAAAACTGAGTATTTACAATGAAGCAATGAGATTAAAGGGAAGGGGGGAAAAAAAACATTCCCCACCCCACATCCCTGGGAAAAATGAGATGATCTCTGATCGTCCAGGTTAATAGCCGACGTGCGGCCATTCAACAGTCTTTGCTTCGCTTCCTTTCTATATCTATAGCTCTAGAAAGAGAATTATCAGATATAGAATTGCTTTGTTGGTCTTTTTAACATGGAAGATGGGGGGGATCCAGAAAACAGATTTGATGGACACAGAAAAGGGGGGTGGGGAGGAGTGGGGCATTAAAAAGTTCAAGATGAGGGTGGGGTGGAGGTCAGAAGTTCAGGAGACGGTGGTTGGAAACAGGATGGCTCTCCGCAGCAGCGACAAAAATTCGAGATGAATCCCGTTCAGATGAGGCAGAGTTTGGTGACAGGTTGTCTCTGAAAAGCAACCAGCTTAGAAATGTTCTCGATGCACAGAAGATGAGTGTGGATTTAGAAAAGCAGTCCCGAGGTAGCCGGCTACTGTGTCTTTAGTCCCTCGCTGATTAGCTTTTTGATATATAGATATATATAGTTGGCCTATATATATTTATAGAGATTTGTGTGTTGCGAGTGTGTCTGAACTCATCGATGTGTATGGAGGGGTGCTCCGAATGGATGTCCGGACAGAAATTAAAAGGGAGTTAGGATGATCGGGAACTGCTTGGCACTGGAGAGAGGAGGCAGGAGAGACAAACACAGAGATCGGGGACAGAGGTGTTGGTGCCTCCTTCTGCTCTGGTCAATATCACGTTCTGGGAGATCAAACAGTGACATGGTAAATGCAAGGGAACAGGTACTGGTGAGCAAATGGAAACAAGACAGGGGTGTCTGTCCCCCCCCTCCCAGCTGAGATCCTGCACTCCCCCCACCCCCGGGGCGCGTGGTACACTCCCAGAGAGATGCCGTGTCCTAAAGTGTTCACGCACAGCACAGGAGGACCCGGATCGGGCTCAGAGCAAATCCCACCCGCTTCCCCCCCAACTCCCGCCCCTCCTGTTTGAGTCTCAGACTTTATTGCCTTTAAATACAAGAGGGGTAGGGAAGGGAGGGCGCCGGGGCTCAGCAAATCAGATTCGCCCTCCTGCCCCGAGAGCGCCCCCCACGTTCCGCTGAGGGTGGAGGCCGGGGAGAGCGGGGACAGCCTGGCTCTGCCTCCACCGCTGCTGCCCTTCCGAGCAGGATGGGGAAGAGGAAAGACGACTTCCATTTGGCACTGCGAAGGCTCCCGGAGCCGGAATGGGGTGGGGGAGAAGCGGGTCCAGGAGGGAACCATCACATTCAAGAACCGCTGCTGTTTAGATGGAGGGAAGGGTGGGAAAAGGGAGAGGGGGCCCACAACCAGGCCGGGCCCAGCCCCAGTCCCTGGCTGGCACTCCGGCCTGGGAGGGACCTGGGGAGGAAGAGATGGCTTCTGCACCAGTTGGGCAGGGAGCTGATCTCCCCAAAGCCCCCCACATGCCAATGGGGAATTGGGATCTTCCCCTCCCCCTCCGCCCCCCACAGTCCTGGCTTTGATGCACGCGGAGGCATCGGGACTAGATAAAGCCTAAACTAGAGGGGCTGGAGGGGCCTGCTGGCTGGGTGAGCATCCCATGCATGGCAGGCAGGCCAGCTCTCCCGCTTCCAAGCAGCCCCCGGCCAGCACCAACGGCAGCCCCAGGTTGATTTCCAAGGGCCCCTCGCTCATCTCCCCGACCCATAAATTCCAGCCTCTGCCGCCCTCCTCCGGTCCCCGCGCCCTTGAGCCACCCAAGTTAAGAGTGGCCCCGACTCCCCTCCGGTAGCTCAACACCCCGGGTGAAGGTGCAGCCCGCCGAATGCAGCCCTTGCCCCCACCTCCTGTGCCACAAGACAGCAGCAGGGCCGGGGGGACGGGATACAAGACACTGCATTGTCGTCCCCTGGAGCCGCGAGGCGGGACGCCACGGGGCCAGCAAACCGTTGTCGATGGAGATGTCTCACTTCCTAGTCGCTGAGGCGATAGCCCAGAGACCTGGGCCCAGGTTGCCGAAGGGCTTTAGGCACCTAACGATGCAGATAGGTGTCTAAAGCCCTTGGGCAACCTGGCCCTAGGACTCTCTCTTTTAGTTTATTATGCTATTTTTTTTATTATTTTATTTAATTTTCTTTAAAAGCCGCTAAGAAAGGACCCAGGGTTCAGATCCACTAACATGATCTATCGTTTACGTCTCTTTTTCTATTTTATTTTTTCCCTTTTTTAATTTTTTTTTAAATCTTGTAGAACATCTAAAAACTTCATTCCCCCCCCCCCTTTAATAGCTGCATGTTCTCTATAAATAAAAAGTTTGGCACTTCAAAAAAACGGTCGGGTCTTTTTCAGATAGATGCCGCATAGGGAACGGATCCCCTCAGGAATGGCCTGGAATACTCCATATTAGCCCCAAGATGCTACACCTTGCTGCAGTATTTTGGGGCGTCCTGGTGAACACTAGTATTTTCTAAGGGTTTGCTTTGCGCAATAAATACCACCTAGTTTTTGTATAGCCCATTACTTCTGTAGAGCTCAAAGTGCTCTGCAGAAGAGGTCGCTACCTTTATGCCCATTATACTAATGGGGAAACTGAGGCACAGGGCTGGGACGCCCAATGTCCCCCAGCAGGCCAAGCTGGGAACAGAACCCAGTTCTACTCCAATTCTCTACCCGTTCGGCCTCACTGCCTTTACTGATGAGCCACAAACACTCCAGTATTTGAGTAACAACCCTGTCAAATGCTGCACCTTGAAACAATGTTACTACAACATTTTGAGAGCTTCCTGGTGAGTGCTGGAGTAATGATTTGCAAGAGGAGTTTTTAGGAGGGCATCTTACAACATTCTACAGGAATGACCCCAAAATACACCAGTATCATTGATGAATAGCGGAGTATAACAGTAGGCTTATAGCATTCTGTTGGTGATCCCAAACACTACAGCACTGTCGGGTACAATTCATAGTAATGTTACTGCAGCATTTTGCTGGGTTAATGAACAATGCTACAGTATTTTTAGAAGCGTCTCCTAGCACTGTACAGGGAGGATCCAAAATACTCCAGCGTTGTAGAGTAATAGTCTGAATATGACGCCTTTCATAGTAACATTGCTGCAGTATTTGGGGTGAGCTTGGTGAATGCTGTAGTATTTTTGATTCAGGTAGCCTAGCATTCATCCAAAACACCATGGCACTGTAAAGTGTTAGCCCCAAATGCCACATCTCACTCTAGGTTAGCTCCAACAGCGGGGGCGGGGAGGAAATGTTGTGTAAATTTCACTGGGATTTGGAAAATTTGGAAGGTATTTTTGTCCCGTCACATTTGAAAACTGACAGATTTTTCATCTTCCTAATTGCCCGGGTAGTTTTTTTAATAGTAGCAGCCGCCGTCTTTCTGTTCTGTGTCCATGGCAGATCTGGTCCACGACTGGGACTCCCAGATGCTACCATCATACACCTAATAGTAATAAAAACGTACAGCGCCTGGCACAAGGGGGTCCTGGGCCCCAACTGGGCTCTACATCTAATAACAATAATAATAATTTTGGGTATTTTTTGTTAAATATGGGCAAGTTCAGGAAAATACCTTTTTGATGCTGCCTAATCTATTCCACCTTGCGAGGAAGCTGGTCAATCCAAAGGGGCTGGATGAAAACATGGCAAGTCAAAATTCGGGGTGGGGGGGGGGGGGTTCGTGAAAAGTATCTTTAGAAAATTTCCCCCCAAAATTAGACATGTCAAGCAAACCCAAATGGTTTTGTGTTAAGAACTTAAAAATAACTCCCATTTTTGGTTCTAACCAACTGCGACTAATTCTATTTATTCCAGTATTTGGGACAGTACTGTATTGAAGAATGCTGGAACGTTTCACTTTACAAAGGTATCCTTCTAGCCTGCTACAACAGTGACTGAAAGCTCAGGTTAATGCTATTGAAGTACTTTAGCCTATTACCGGAGCATTTTTGGACGGGTGCCTGTAGGAAAACACTCTGGGTTATCGTAGTGTTACTGAAGTATTTCGGGGTGTTGTAGTATTATAGGGTATTGGTGTCGTTCTTTTATTCGGGTATCTTTCTGAAAACTTTACCGGTTATCGTAGCGTTACTGGGGTGGTGTTACTGTGGTGTTTTCGGATATGGCGGTAGTATTTTTAACAAGGATGCCATGTTAAAAACACCCCAGAATTGTATTACCCAGCAATGGGGTAGGTTTTCCAGAATAGCCTTGGGCCACTGGAGTAGTTTGGGGGTTAAATTGGGTAATCCCTCTGTGAGCTGGTGTTGCCCCTTTGCAGCCCTGCTCTGACCTTGGCATTTCCAGTAAGGGCTGTCCCAGGCACTCTATGCAGGCATGTATCGAAAAAGACAGACAAATATTTTGGCACAAAAACCACCTCCCGAGCCCTCCTCCCGCCTCCCTTTGCAAAGTTTGATATGCAACACCCCCGTCATAGGCTACAGCAGCACGTTTTGTTCGACACAAAAGATCCCAGAACCATTCGGGACGCTCCCACAGCTGGCAGGAATGGGCAGAGCTCCCCACGGGGGCGGAGCAAGGCCTATTGACCCCAGCGCAGGATCTGGCCCGACCCATGTAAAAGGGCCGGCTCTCCTGGCCCTGCCTCTCTGCCTCTCATCTCACCTCCGAGATTCAGTGCAAGATGCTACTTAAATATTGCTTCCTTTTTAGTAGTAAATATTTTCACATTTGTTTTGTTCCCTAGTTTAAAAGGTTACAAACCCCCCCTCCCTCAGCCCCCCCGGCTAACGAATGGAAAATGATTGATCTCTGCTAGCTAACATGCAGGCCCCACCCCCCCACCGCCCACATCCCAGACCCACCGCTAGCCCCTTCCCCTGAGTCTGTCCCCAATTCCTGTCCAACCATCTACCTGCTGGAGCAACGTGGACACGGCTGCCCTCTCGGTGCCTCTTATGCACCTTCCCGGTGAGCTCTGGAGCCTGCAAAGGGCCATGCAAAGCAAACCCGCCTGTGCCCAGGCTGACGGCCAGCTGGGGGTCAGGAAGAGATTCTCCTTCCCAGGGTAAAATATTGCACAAATCCACAGCTCGCCCCTGGGGTGGGGGGTGAATGGACGGTGTCACATTGGGAGGGGGCTCCTTTGGGCTCTGGGGTGGGGGCGTTATGGGGTAAGTGCCAGTGTCAGGTAGGGAGGATAATGGGATAAGTGCCGATGCTAACTGGGGTTGGGGGGGTGACAGGGTCAGATGGGGAGGGGTCCCTAGGGCGGGGGAGGCAATGGGGTTCCTGCAGGGGTCAGACGGGGGGAGGGGTCTTCTAGGGGCTGTGATTGCATTGGGACCTATGAAGCACTTAAGCCGACGGCCCTCCCCCCAGGCACAGGGGCCCGGCTCTGGTGGGGTCTCTCCGAGCACAGCACTGGCGCAGAGCCGCTCACCCCCACCACCCGCCGCCGGTGATATGCTCATTTCACTCCCGCCTCTTCCAATGCTCGTGAGTAACCCTCCAATAACAAACCCGCCCCGGGATCACAAACAACCCTACAATAACAAGCCAGGGTATACAACTCAGGGCTCCTGAACAACCCTACAATAACAAGCCAGGGTATACAACCCAGGGCTTCTGAGCAACCCTACAATAACAAGCCAGGGTATATAACCCAGGGCTTCTGAGCAACCCTACAATAACAAGCCAGGGTATACAACCCAGGGCTTCTGAGCAACCCTACAATAACAAGCCAGGGTATATAACCCAGGGCTCCTGAGCAACCCTACAATAACACACCAGTGGAAGAAGCCTGACACACAGGAGCAACATTACACTAACAAGCCAGCCTGTTCAGCCAAAAAGCTTCCGAAGGATCCTGCAATAACAAGCCAGTGCAGACAGGGGTGGAGGCGGGTGGAAAGGAAAACATCCCTGTTTCCAGAAGCCCTGGAGGGCCCTGGCAAAAGCGGGGCATTAACAAGGGGTCAGCTGTAAACACAGTGTGGAGAATGGCCCCACGGATTTGATCACAGAACGGCTACCGGATACCCTGGCACTAGCCCAGGGGCTACTGGGCCTGACCCCAGTGCTAGCCCAGGGGCTAATGGATACCCTGGCACTAGCCCAGGGGCTACTGGGCCTGACCCCAGTGCTAGCCCAGGGGCTAATGGATACCCTGGCACTAGCCCAGGGGCTACTGGGCCTGACCCCAGTGCTAGCCCAGGGGCTAATGGATACCCCGGCACTAGCCCAGGGCCACTGGGCATCCGGCTCTCACGGACTGCCCTGAGTCGCTGATATGTGAACCAGGGCTTTTCCACGCTGCAGGGGGAGCCCTTGGCTGGCTCAAGGTGATAATACTGCTTGAGGCATCAAAGAGATCCTGGGGGAGGCAGGAGTGGGGTGGGGGTTTCTAAGGAAGAGGGAGAGGAGCCATGTCCCTTCCCTGGAGCAACGGGGCCAGTCGTGAGGTCCACGGCTTGAGAAGATACCGATATCCACCCCCGAGGCTGAGAAAATAGCCAGCGTCCCAGCCGGGCTTTAATACTGAATGGTAGCGGCAGGAAGGGCTGCCTAGTGCTTCACTTTCTTGGCCATGCCAACCGCCCGGGGCCTGTGCGAGCGGCGGCGATGGCTGGGTTCCCTGCCCCGTCGCTGCTCCGGCGGGACGGGCTCCACCGCTCGCGTTCCCGGGGGGCGTGGGGGGAGAGATTCCTCCCTAGATGGATGTGACACCAGCATTTACAGAACAGCCCCGAAGGAAAATAAAACCACACCCGGACGGTTTGGCCCCGTCTGTCACAGGAAGCAGGCTATGACATCACAGGAAGCAGTCTATGACATCACAGGAAGCAGCCTGACGTGCCTCAGGCAGGCGTTTACACCACAGCAAGTAGCCTCCTACACCACAGGAAGTATCATACTACATCACTGATAGACACTTGTGATGTCACAGGAAGTAGCCTATCACATCACAAGAAATAGCCTCCTCCACCACAAGAAGGAGCATACCACATCACTGATAGATGCTTGTGATGTCACAGGAAGTAGCCTATGACATCACAAGAAGTAGCCTCCTACACCATAAGAAGTAGCATACTACATCACTGGTAGACACTTGTAGTGCCACAGGAAGTAGCCTATGACATCACAGGAAGTAGCCCCCTACGCCACATTACATCACAGACCACCATGCATGCTGTCACAGCTTCATGTTCTGCTCCTTATCTCCCCACCCTCCAATCATCCGGTCTGGCAGACATTGCCGAGCGAGACGACAAAACCCAGCCCTGTGGCTACGCCATGGACAGACTCCCACCCCCACTCCCCACGGGGACAGCGCAGCCACCTTTCCAGTTACGCACCTAGAGATATTTTTAAAACGTGTTGCTTTCTTTCTGGAGGAAGAGGGGGAGTGTGTCCCCCCACTTTTGCTGAAGATATGAATAACTACCCCCCCCAGCCCACAAAACCCACCCCCAATCCTAACTTAACACCCCCCTCCCACCCCGAGTTCAACACAATTTGACTATCTACACGCCGAAAATAAAACGCATCAGTGAAATGCCGCGTCACAGCTTAAGTTCAATAAGACCCAGCTACAGAGGGGGCATGTGGGGGATTTACGGCAACTGTGGCTCACGCCAAGACCCCGTTCCCCACCCCCCGTCGTCTCAACATGGGTCCAGATCAGCGCCAATCACCCCTCCCCCAATTATGGATCAAAATCCAATTCCCCCCCCAGTCTTACGTGGATGCACTCCCCAAAGTGCGATCTGCTCCCTGAATAGAGAGAGCAGGGGGTGGGGGAGGTCTGGCTGGGGGGGGGCCAGAAAGAAAGGAAATAAAGAGAAAATTTGACCCATTTTCTTTTTCTATTAAAAAAAAAGAAGTGCAATATATACATATCAGACAGAACGCACGGCAAGGTCCGCGGGCCGATCCGGAGATCGCGTCTGGATCGGAGCTGGTCATTAGATTGGGGGGGAACCCCTCCCTACTGGAGGGGATGCATGTTTGGGGGCGTGCGGGGGATGGGCAGGGTGGGGGAGAGGGGCCTGTTTGTTTGTTTGTTTGACGTTTAAAATGGATTTCTCCCTTTGGTGACTCCCTCCGGCCCTACCCTACTTTCTGCGGGTTGGTGGCTCGCACCCCCTGCTCGTACGTCACTCGCTGGCTGATGAGGTACTGGGCGGCCTGCGTGGCTGCCGGCGTGCCGGTGATGGTGACTTTACGGTTCCTGGTGCCAGGGATAAACTCTCCCTTTTTGGAGATCTGGATCCGGGCGCCCGTCAGCTCCTGATACTCCACCAGCGTCTTGCCCCCTTTGCCCAAGATGGCCCCCACCAGATTCTCTGGCACCGCGATCTCCACCATATCCTTGGCACTCTCCACTAACTTCTCCGTGGCCAGGAAGGAGCTGGCCACCAGCGGCGAGGCTGTGCCCAGGTAGCCGTTGGCCGCCCCGGTGGCGGCCGCCAGGGAGCCCAAGGTGAAGGCCCCCACAGCGCCGGCTGGCGTGCTGGTGCTAGCGGAGGCATCGCTGGCGTAGGAGGCCAGGAGGTTGGCGGCAGCGGCCGCGGCAGGATTGGCGCCAGCCGCCACGGCGGCCAGCACGCCAGAGGCGGCGGCAGAATTGAGCCCCAGCCCCAGGGAGTTGGTGTTGTATCCGTAACTGGCCAAGGTGTTGAGGGCCGTGCTGATGGCCAGCAGGTCGCTGCCGGAGAAGCCCGGCAGGGCCGCCGGGAAGGCCCCGACGCCGGCCAGGCTGGTGTGTCCCAGCAGGCCCGAGGCGGTGGCGGCGGCGGCGGCGGCCGGCAGCACGTCCGTGGAGTTGGCGTAGGGCGAGCCGGTGGGGTTGGAGTTGGCCACGGGGCCGGTGATGTTGGCGTAGCTGATGTTCAGGCAGCTGCTGCTCTGTGGGTCCTCCTGGATTTTCTGCACGATGATGTCCACCGCCTTGCGGATCTGCTCGGGCTCCCCGCTGACCGTCACCACCCGCTCCTGCAGGTTGATGCCCTCCGGCTTCTGGCTCAGCTGCACCCAGGCCCCCGACTGCTCCATGATGGCCTTCACCGTGGCACCCCCTTTGCCGATGATCAGCCCAGCTGTGCTGTTGGGGACGATCAGCTTGGCCTGCCGAGGGGAAGAGACGGGGGGGGAGGGGTTAGGTGGGGGGGGGAATGAGCTCCAGCAGCTTCCATTGCCTTTCGCCAATGCCGAGCTGCAGCCCCCTCTGGGGTGGGGTGTAGGGCTATTTATACAGGGACCCCCCAGTGCTGAGCTCAGCCCCCTCTGGGGTTCCATATGACATACAAGGATCACCCGTCCCCCGCTCCCTGCAGCACATCCCCTAGCGCCGCGTGGAGACAAGCATGCTCCAGTCTCCACAGAGGGGCCTAGCGGGGGTGTCGTACCCACTCAGAGAGCTGGGCGACTCCCAGCGACACGTGGGCTGAGCTGGGAAGGGGTGCTGCCCAGACACTGCTGGCCGGAGCTGGGTTCCCCTTCAGCACCATGGAGAGCAGTGACAGCATCCAGCACACCCAGAGTTCGCTACACCCAACCCTAGGCACACCCAGAGCTCAGTACACCCAGCACCCTGCACACCCAGAGCGTGGTACACCCAGAGCTCAGTGCACCCAACCCTAGGAACACCCAGAACTCAGTACACCCAGCACCCTGCACACCCAGAGCGTGGTACACCCAGAGCTCAGTGCACTCAGCCCTAGGCACACCCAGCCCTAGGCACACCCAGAGCTCAGTACATCCAGCACCCTGCACACCCAGAGCGTGGTACACCCAGAGCTCGGTGCACCCAACCCTAGGCACACCCAGAGCTCAGTACACCCAGCACCCTGCACACCCAGAGCGTGGTACACCCAGAGCGTGGTACACCCAGAGCTTGGTGCACTCAGCCCTAGGCACACCCAGAGCTCAGTACACCCAGCACCCTGCACACCCAGAGCGTGGTACACCCAGAGCGTGGTACACCCAGCACCCTGCACACCCAGAGCATGGTACACCCAGAGCTCGGTGCACCCAACCCTAGGCACACCCAGAGCTCAGTACACCCAGCACCCTGCACACCCAGAGCGTGGTACACCCAGAGCTCAGTACACCCAGCACCCTGCACACCCAGAGCGTGGTACACCCAGAGCACTCAGCCCTAGGCACACCCAGCCCTAGGCACACCCAGAGCTCAGTACACCCAGCACCCTGCACACCCAGAGCATGGTACACCCAGAGCGTGGTACACCCAGAGCTCGGTGCACCCAGCCCTAGGCACACCCAGCCCTAGGCACACTCAGAGCTTGGTACACCCAGCATCCAGCACACCCAGAGCATGGTACACCCAGAGCTCGGTGCACCCAGCCCTAGGTACAACCCAGGCCTAAGAGGGGGTCAGGGAAGGGCTGGGGCATGATCTTGGCCTGGAGGGCCTCCATCAGGCTGTCCTTGGGCCCTCCCCAGACTGGCCACCTGCAGTGACACAGCCTGGGGCTAGGGGCAGACCAGGGGGCTCTGCCTGGGAAGGGAGGAGGATGCAGCCTCCCCACCCTATTACATAACCGCAGCCCAGGAGCAAAGGAAAACACCACAGCGACTTAGCCGAGAAAATCTCTTGCGTAACAAGCTCTGATGCAGGCCCCGACCCCGCTGTCGGGCCAGACTAACCCACAGGAGAGAGCTGCAGCTTGGCTCTGCCGGTGCCCCTCAGCCCTGACCCGCAGCCATAAGCGCTGACTCCGTGGGTGCTCCGATCAGCGTTTCCCCCTCGCTCTCCGCGCCTCCCACCTGCAGCAATCAGCTGTTTCAAGGCATGCAGGAGGCTGGGGGGGAGGAATGATGACGTGGCACAGGGTGAGCCATGTCCCCAGGGGCCCAAAGGGGCAAGAGACCCGCACCTCATCCTGTTCAACAGGAGATTTCTTGGGAGATTTTAGCAACCCTGGCTTCTCCCAGCAGGGGGCACTGTGGGGAGCGGGGCAGGAGCCGGCTGTGGGGGGAGCTCCCGGCTCCTCCAGCCCCAGCCTCTCCCAGCAGGGGGCGCTGTGGGGAGCGGCACAGAAGTGTGCCGGGCAGAGGGAGGTGTCAGACTCATTCCCGCCCTGTTTCTTTGACACAGTCAGGAAAGTCAAGTGAGCCCTTGTTGCCTTTGAAGCAGCCAGGCCTGGGCGGGGGTGAGGGTGCCGACCCGGTGCCCCCACAGCTCCATCCCTGTCAAGGGACTTCCCAGGATGACCTGTGCTGTGGGGAGAGATCGGGGGGGTGGGGGAGAGGCTGCAGGCTGTGATCAGACCTAGTCCCCAGCGGACAGGAGGGACAACAGGATGCAGGTGACTAGGGCAAAGGGGCCTCGGGGAGCGAGGACATGGGCGGTGTCAATCCCCTTTCCCTGGGGGGAGGGGAAGGGGAGTTAAAGCCAAGAGTCAGGATTAGAACCCAGGCGTCCTGACTCCCAGGCCCCCTGCTCTAACCCAAGAGAGCCCGTCCCCTCCCAGAGCTGGGATAGAACCCAGGAGTCCTGACTCCCAGGCCCCCTGCTCTAACCCAAGAGAGCCCGTCCCCTCCCAGAGCTGGGATAGAACCCAGGAGTCCTGACTCCCAGGCCCCCTGCTCTAACCCAAGAGAGCCCGTCCCCTCCCAGAGCTGGGATAGAACCCAGGAGTCCTGACTCCCAGGCCCCCTGCTCTAATGCAAGAGAGCCCGTCCCCTCCCAGAGCTGGGGAGCGAACCCAGGCATCCTGGTCCCCAGTCCCTGGTCCTAACCCATAGAATTCCCACCTTGCTACAATCCTGTTGACCCCGGGGGCTGGGCTTGTGTATCTGGGGAAACAGACCAGAATGGCTATTGCCCTTGCGGGAGGAATGGCCTGGAGGGGACGACCCCCCCCCCGCCCGGGGGGAACGGACTGAGAGGATGTTCCCCTCTCGGCCCCATGGGGATGGACAGGATGGGCCAAAGGAGACATGAAGTCATCTCTTTCTTCTTGGGAATGACAAATGCTGTCCCGAGGGGACCCCGGCGTCCGGGCAAAGGCCACCACGTGGGCCCCAGTCTGGACATGGCTCATCCTCGCACGGGATGGTGTCACATGAGGACCTTAAGGGAGGGGGTGAGGATTGGGGAGAGTCTATTGGGGCCTTTGTGACCAACGGGGATGCTGGACCAGACCCCTGGACCCGATCCTGAATCACAACCCGGGCCCGGGGCTCCTCCCCTCCTGTAGCTCTGCCAGTGCCTCTCTATCCAGACCCGCAGACCCCTGCTAGCCCAGCCCTGGGCTCCCCCCCACCTCTGCTGGTGCCCCTCAATCCCAACCCACAGCCCCAGCCCAGCACTGCCCCCACCTCTCCCAGTTCTGCCGGTGTCCCTCAATCCTGACCCGCAGCCTGCCACTATCCCAGCCCTGGGCGTTCCTTTCTCCCAACCTGCAGTCCCTGGCTATCCCAGAATGCAGCAAATTCCCTATTCAAAAAAGAGACCCATCCAACTCACTTCATGTGTGGCCAGAGGCAGGCTCTGAACCCAGAACCCCAGCGAGGGAGGTTGCGGGGGATGGACTGTGAAACTCCACTTGCCCCCCAGCAATCTCTGCACTAACCCCTGGGCAGTGTTGCCCTAGCCCCACGCTACAGCGTCCCAGAGACCCCAAGGCCTTTGTGGCTGCTGATGGCTAATAGGTGTGTTACAGCCCCTGCACATTACAATGGGTGTGCAGGAGGGTGTGTACCGCCCCTGCTGAGGGCAGTGTGTGCTGCTGACAGCCCCAGTGTGGTGACACTGGGAAGCGCTATCTGGGATCTGGGGAGCTCAGGACAATCACAGGGACTGCCCGAGTCCAGCCACCCCCGCAGAGTCCTGGCTGCTCCCTGGGGGCATAGGTGGATTAAGGTTTCCCGGGGCCCTCGGCCAGAGCAAGTGGGGGACCCCTGCCAACCCCTTCTGCCTGCGGTCCCACCCCCGTTCCGCCCCTTCCACCTGCAGCCCCGCCCATGGCCCCACCCCTTTCTGTCTCTCCCCTGGGCCCCGCCCCTGGTCCACCCAGGGTCCCCCCATTCTGCCCCCGCACTGTGGCCCCACAACCTGTTTGCTCCTTTCTGCCCTCCCCACAAAACTGGAGAAGCTCTGTCTCCCCGCTATGGCTCAGGGCCGCAACAGGGAGTGAGAGCTCCCCCAGCCCTGAGGCCGTGGCAGGGAGCGAGTGCTCCTCCAGTCCCGGGGCCGCAGCCGGGTCTGGGCACTGGGGCTTCCCCCACCACCCCCGGTGCTTCTGTGGGGGACCAGGGTCGGGGCGCTGGGGCTTCTCCTGCCCTGCCTGCCCAGTGTTTCTTCCAGGGATGGGGTTAGGGTGCTGGGGGCTTCCCCTGCCACCCCGCAGCTTCTGCCAGGGAGTGGGTTCGGGGAACTGGGGCTTCCCCCACCCCGCCCGGCAGCCTGGGCTCGGGGCTTCCGCTGCCTGGCAACGGATTTTTTCCAGGGGCCCCCCAGTTGGCCGGGGCCCCTGGGAACGGGCTCCGTTGGCCCAGTGGCTAATCCACCACTGCCTGGGAGTGTCCAGTCCCCCGGATCTCACCTGCTTGGCGCGGTCTGGGTTCATGGTGGTCTGCGGCTGCAGGATGTTGACGGACTCCGGCTTCACCACGGACTGGGGGATCTCGCGCACCTTCTCGGCGATGAAGTTGTGGACGGCGTTGAGGGCCTCGGCTGTGCCCTGCACGAGGCACACCCGTTCTGTGGTGCCTGGGGAGGGGAGAGCATGGGCAGGTTAGCACCCAGAGTTCTGGGCACAGAGGGCACCAAGCTGGAGAGGGATGCGCTGATGTGAGCTTACAGGGAGGGAGCGTGCAAAAGGGGAGAACAACTGACACCAAAGGGGTGAGTGTGCAAAAGGGAAGTGAGTGTGTAAGGGAACTGAGACCAAAGAAATGGGGGTGATGGAGGAAGGTGAGTGTGCAAGAGGAGAGGAAGTGTGTAAGCGAGCAACAATTGATGCCAGAGGAATGAGTGTGCGAGTGGGTGTGCAGGGGACAACGGATTGCAGAGGGGAAAGTGTGCACGCAGGCATGAGGAGGATGCGGGTATAAGAGGAGGAGTGAGTGTGTCAGCAGGTGTATTTACACCTAGCTCTTGACCAGCCACCACTGCCTTGGCCTCCCTTTGCCCAGCTGTCACCTGCGTCCCATCCCCCTCCAACACCCCCCCCCCCGCTCCAGAGAGGCCCAGCGTGGCACATAGAGGGTTAACGCGCGCCAGACATGCCCCGCCAGCTGCTGCCTGTTTAAAGCCAACAGCTGGCTGGGCTGCTAACGAGGGCCCCGTTGCTCCCCTCCGGGACCCCGACCATGGGACAGGGCTGGTGTCAGCCCCTCCAGGGAAGGGAGCTCTCAGCACCCCCCATCTCCCTTGAATGCCAGCCTTTCACCTCCACCCTGTGACCTCTCCTGTCGGCTGATGGGGAAACTGAGGGCGGTTGGGACTTGCCCTCCCCAAGGTCACACACCGAGCCTGTGGCAGGGCTGGGGATCGAACCCAGGAGTCCTGATGCCCAGCCCCCCGCCCCTTTTAACCACTAGATTCCACTCCCCACCCAGAGCCGGGGGAGACCCCTGGCGCTCCCCCTTTAGCTCAGGGTCTAGGGCTTTGGGGCTGGGGATTCTGGGTGCAATCGCTGCAGAGCATTCGATCCCCATGGCAGGGAGGTTCATCCCCAGGGTGTGGGGTACAGCCCTGGGGAGCAAATGCCTCAGCTGGTGCCAGTGCTGTTGCATGGGGGAGCTGGGGGTGGGGAGAGGAGAGGAGAGAGAGGGAGGGAAACCAAGGATTTTTGGTCTCTCTCCTTCCCCACAACATCCCCTTCCCCATGTCCCTGCTCCCCACCTCCCCCTTCCCCTTCCCCTCCCCTCCCCACGTCCCTCTCCTTGGCCAACATCCCCCTCTCCATATCCCTCCCTGCATCCCCTTCCCCTCTCTCTCCCTTCCCCACATCCCCCTTCCCAGCTCTCTCCTCCCCACACCCCTCCGCTCCTTGCATCCCCTTCCCCCTCCCTATATCCCCCCTTCTCTTCCTCCTTCCTTCCCGCTACGTCCCCCCGCTCCTCCCAGTTTGCCCCTCCGCATGGCCCCACTCTCCCTCCTTCCCCACATCTCCCATCCCCCTCATTACCCCCGCCCCTCGCCATGCCCCCTCCCCCCGCCCGTTTTCCCCCCAACCTCCCCCCCTCAGCTGCTGCCTCAACAAAACAGGCACAGCCGGGTTACCATGGCAACCTGCAGCGTTTTGGAACCCCCTCCCCCCCCCCAGCAGCCGTGATGGAGGCTTAAGGGCCTGTCGCCATGGCAACCGGCACCCCCTCATCTGCCATCCGCCGGTTACCTGGGCGATGAGGGACCCTTTGTCCCCAGCAATGAACTCCCCCATCCGGGGTGGGGTGAGAGGCCCCAGGCGGGAAGGGGAGGAGGAGAGTTGGCAGGGGGGCCCCAGTTGCCCCACAGCGAGGGTTGAGGCCCAGCGCAGGGCCTGGCATCAGGGGCTCAAAGATCCCGGTGGGGGGGGACAGCGGGAGGCCCGGTCCCATCCCCCCCATCCCCACACAGAGTCAGAGGTTCGGAGAAGACAGGAGGGAAATGGGGGGAGGGCCCTGAATGAGTCAGGGATCCTCAGGCTGGCTCAAAATGTAACCCCCTCCCCATCCTATGACCAACCCCGGCCTCTCCGAGCCAGCCAAACCCGTGACGCCACGGCCCACCCTTGCCAACCACCGATGCTATGGCCCACCCTCGGAAACCACGGCCCATGGCAGACGCCCGCCTTCACCAACCACAACCCATGGCACCACAGCCCACCCTCGCCAGACACTGACACTACGGCCTAGCCTGGCCAACCACAGCCCATGGCACGTGCCCACCCTCACCAACCATGGCCTATGGCACCATGGTGCACCCTTAACAGCCACTAACACCACGGACCACCCTCACGAACCATAGCCCCTGGCACCACTGCCCACCCTTGCCAACCACGACGCCATGGTCCATGCCCATTCTCACCAACCATGGCCCATGGCACCACAGCCCATCCTCACCAACCACCAACACCATGGCACCATAGCCCACCTTCACCAACCATGGCCCTCAGCCTACCCTCACCAACTACGATGCCATGGCCCACGCCCACTCTCGCCAACCACCAATGCATGCTCGCCAACCACAGCCCACAGCACCACGGCAGCACAGCCCATGCTCACCAAACCACAGACCACGCTCAATAGACCATCAACGCCACAGCCTGTGGTACCACAACCCACATGCACCAAACCATAGCCCACAGTACCGCAAACCTCCTTCACCACACCACACACCTCCCTCCCTGCAATCCACCGCCAGCACCAGAGCACAGACCACCAACCGCCACCAGCACTGCCCACCGCTCTCCCCAAAGCACCAACCCTACAAACCGCAACAGCCATCCACACACTACCGCAGGCCACTCCCACCAACGCACAAACCACCAGAGTCATCCCACATCTCTCAGTGGTTACAGCGGGGGCATCGGGAGCAGGACTCCTGGGTTCTATCCCAGCTCTGGAAGGGGAGTGGGGTCTAGTGGTTAGAACAGGGGGCTAGGAGTCAGGACTCTTGGTTCTATCCTGGCTCTGGGAAGGGATTGGGGATCTAGTTGTTAGAGCAGGGGGGGATGGGAGCCAGGACTCCTGGGTTCTATTCCCAGCTCTGGGAGTGGAGTGGGGTCTAGTGGTTAGAGCAGGGGGCTGGGAGTCAGGACTCCTGGGTTCTATCCTGGCTCTGGGAGGGCAGTGGGATCTACTGGTTAGAGGCTGGGGTGGGGGACAAGAGCCAGGACTCCTTGTTCTATCCCCAGCTCTGGGAGAGGAGTGGTTTTGGTGCAAGCAAGTCATGGCCCTCAGAGACTGAGTACAGGCTATGGAGACCAGAGTGGCTGAACCGAAGGAGCTGAGGGAGACAGAGAGGTACAGAGAGGAGATTTTCTGGGGCACAGCAGAGTGGGTCCCACCCCCAGTCTGTGCTGCTGAGGAGGAGGGAAGGCTCGAGGAAGGAGAGCATTAAGCTGGAGTGGAGGGATATGATCCCATCGTTGGGACCCTCCTTCCAGACACACTGAGGAGAGCCCTCCAGGGGAGGGGACCCCAGTTATTAGGAAGAGCCAGGTAATAGCAATGGGGGAGTCGATTGTTAAAAATATGGATAGTTGGGTTTGTGGTGACTGGGAGAACCGCATGGTGACTTGCCTGCTGGGCGTGAAGGCTGCAGAGCTCATGAGACATCTAGACAGACTTATGTGCCGTGCTGGGGAGGAGCCGGTGGTCGCGGTACATGTAGGTACCAGTGACACAGGGAAAGGTAGGAGAGAGATCCTGGAGGCCAAATTTAGGCTGCTAGGTAAGAGGTCCAGGAACTCTATGGTAGCTTTCTCTGAAATGCTTCCAGTTCCACGCACAGGGCCAGTTAGACAGGCAGAGATGCAGGGTCTCAATGCGCGGATGAGACAATGGTGTTGGGAGGAGGGGTTTAGGTTTATTAGGAACTGGGGAACCTTTTGGGAAAGGAAGAGCCTATACAAGGAAGGATGGGTTTCACCTAAAGCAAAACAGAACCAGATTGCTGGCGTGTAAAATCAGAAAGGTCATAGAGGCGTTTGTAAATTTGTCGGGAAGGCCGAAAGGTGCAGAGGAGCACATGGCTCAGACAGAGACATCCCTTAGGGGAAGAGTAAAGAAGAGAGTGTAGAAGTTGGTAAAGTACAGGCAGGAACTGTAGAGAAACAGTCGAAGGAAAAAGAGACCCGTTCAATTACATCACAGGAAGGCAGACAACTAAATACTCACAAATTTTGTAAGTGCTTATATACAAATGTAAGAGGTTTAAATATTAAGATGCGTGAACTAGAGTGCCTGGTATTAAATGAGGAAATTGCTATAATAGGCATCACAGAAACGTGGTGGAACAATGATCAGTGGGATGCGGTAATACCAGGGTACAAAATACATAGGAATGACAGAGTAGGTCGTGCTGGTCGGGGTGTGGCACCACTACATGTGAAAGAAAGCATAGAGTCAAACACAGTAAAAATCTTCAATGAATTAAACTGAACCCTCAAATTTCTATGGATAGAAATTCCATGCTTGGATAATAAGTGTGCAGCAGTAGGAATATCCTACCGATCACCTGACCAGGATGGTGATGGTGACTGTGAAATGGTCAGGGAGATTAGAGAGGCTACAAAAATAGAAATCCCAATAATAATGGGGGATTTCAACTATCCCCATAGGGACTGGGTACATGTCAACTCCAGATGGGATGCAGAGATAAAATTTCTAGACACCATTGATGGCTGCTCCTTGGAGCAGCTAGTCCTGCCGGAACCAACAAGGGGAGAGACAATTCTTGATTTAGTCCTAAGTACCACATGGGGGCTGGTCCAAAAGGTGATTATAGCTGAACCCAGGGTTGGCCTTAGACCAAACAGCACCCCAGGCGAGGAGCATCTTTGGCACTCCCCTCCCCATTTGTTAAACTTTTGAATACCTTATTTTTATTGCATTTGTAGCCCATTTCATGACTTTGATACACGATTTGCATGCCTGATTTATCCCTGTCCTAGAAGATGATAAATTTGGATGCTAGGATCTGTAAATCCATATTTATTCTACACAGGTCCAGAACATTCTGGGAGGCTAGTGAAAAATGAATCCACGTACAGAATACCT